TATTACTCTTCAAAATACCCTACTTGAGAAAATAATTTTGGAATGAAATAGGTGAGGTTTTTTCCCACCTCATTATCCGATAAAATTACCATAATTAATAATATAAAATGACGTTATTTATTTAACTACTTAGTTAACACCATTAAGATTAAAATACAATTTGAAACTTTGTTTGAATTAGTAAAAACATTTGTAGACCATTCCATATTTTTATCATTTTGACCCAACACTTCTCTATATTTAGATTAACTCATTTACCCCTAAATTCAAGGACATCTTCCTTTTTGTACTCACAACAATCATTCATTCTCTTCCTACTACCTCCCTTTCCCTCGTCACAAAGGTCCTTTCCTCTCTTTCATACGTGACATAATGGTACGAATTCAATACAATGTCATTATTCTCTTTCATTTTATTCTGATCGAATTTGAGATAAAATAAGTTTCGATTTTATTTTCTATCAATTAAGTTCTAATGGACTCTGATCAAATATATCTAACAGGCGAACGCAGCCTCGGGAATCGCTGTGAATGATGATTGTAAGGCCAAGTTTTTGGAGCTGAAAGCAAAGAGGAATTATAGGTACATTGTCTTCAAAATAGAAGACGCGACTCAGCAGGTTGTGGTTGACAAGCTGGGTGATCCCAGCGACAAATATGAAGACCTAATCGCCAGCATGCCCACCAACGAGTGTCGTTATGCCGTCTTCGATCTCGACTTCACCACTAACGAAAACTGCAATAAGAGCAAAATCGTCTTCATTGCATGGTAATCACATTAATACGCATGCCCAAACTTAATTTTAACCCGATGATTCAAATTACAAAAGATCTCGATTCGAACTAATTAAGTTTTATAAGCTCGTTTTAGTTCAATGTTCCGAGTTACTCGTCTTATGAATTCGTTGTAGGTCTCCGGATACGTCGAGGGTTCGGAGCAAGATGGTGTATGCGAGCTCCAAAGACAGGTTCAGGAAGGAGCTGGATGGTGTTCAAGTTGAGTTGCAAGCCACTGATCTGAGTGAAATGAGCTATGACATCGTCAAAGAACGAGCTATATCTCATTGAACCATTTTTACCGAGTCTAATTCTTCCATTGGACATGAATTTGGTTGGCTTTTATTTATTTATTTATTTAAGTATGAAATTGTTGAAGATTTATAATTATGAACAGAGATCACCACACTCTTATTTCCTTTTTTCTTTTTCGTTTTAACCCTGCTTTCATTATTTGTGGGGGTGGTTTTGTGTACTGATCTTTGTTTGAAGAAAGATGAATCTCGTTTCTCTATTTTTGCCTTTAATATATCCATTCGTTCTTAATTTTTTTAATAACTTTTTTTTTAAATTGGTACAAGATACTAGTGTGCATTTCAATAAAGCTATTAAAAAAATCAATAAGCCATTTTTTAAAATAATTTTAGGTTATTATAAGCAGTATATGTTTCAAATCTTTTTTGGTTATCAATAATATACACCATGTAAATACAACGGTCCAGATTCATAACCTATAAGAAAAACAATACTATCTTTTATCACTGAGGTAACTGTGATTTGTCAATATATAGATTAATATAATAATAATTTATCAAATATAAACCTTAAAAATTAAGAATAAAACATATAATTTGGATTTTTAATTTAGGTATTAATTCATGAATATATTGGAGGTGGTGGAATGTTTGGAGAAAAAAAATTAAAAATCAGAAAGTTTTTTATTATAAATTAGATATAAAACTAATGTTTAAAAATCTATTTAATTTTTTAACAGTAATTTAGAGATAAAATTAAATATTAATCTTTAGTTAACATTTTCATGTCATCAATTTAACGAAGATGACGGTGGAGTGATCATTTTTTTTACAAATCGATAATGTTATTGTTCAATTTATTACTTTTAAAATTTCAGTGAAGAAAATAAAAATTTATTCAAACATTAATAAATATTTAAACGTTATGATATTTAGCGACTTTTTTTCCAAACGCCTCTATTTATCTTTTTTGTGTGGCTTTTTTCCCAAAAAAAACCTTCTTAATTGTTCTTATTTATAGTGGCGTTTGTTCCAAAAAACGCCGCTAAATGTTATATCATATAATGGCGTTTGTGAATGTAAAACACCGCTATTAACTATGTTTATAGTGGTGTTTTTTGTATAAACGTTGTAAAAGATCTAGAATTTTAGTGGCGTTTTCATAAACGTCGGTATTGACTATGTATTTAGTGGCATTTTTTATACAAACGTCGCGAATTAAAAATAATTTTTCAAATATTGTTTTCTACTCTTTTGTTACCCAAATTTAACCTGTAGCATTATCCAATAAACTTGACATCCATAACAAGAAACTTGAAATCCATAACAAGAAACTTGAAATCCATAATAATAAATCAAAGTTTTCATTAACGTAAAATATAATGCAGTTCAACATTGTTAACTAGAATAAACAATAATAACACCTAATATGGTGGACTATGAGATTGATTTTGTCGTATCATCTGCATCATAGCTTAAAGTTGATTTTGAGAGTCTTCACATTTTTTCTGATATGTTGTTTCTCTCTTTGCTTTCCTTGCTTCAGTTTCGACTCCATTTCGATATTCGTCGCTTATTCTTGTCAAATCCATCCAACTCTTATCCATTTCGTATTTCTAGATTATCAATTTCAAATGTTAATTGCTAATATTATAGAGACAATAATCAACTAAACATAAGCATTACATTTAATTTCACAATTGAGAACATATCACAAAAAACTAAAACTCACAACCAATATATCAAATAAATTATGACAAAAACTAATTCTTTGTCTTGGCTCCAAATTAAATGTATTGTGATAAATGAAACACAAAATAAAATTATACTATTGGTCTGTTGTGTGTATGTAACACCCCCAACCCGCATCTGACCCGGATCCGAGTCCGAGGTGTCACATTGACTTTTCAAAGCATTTACTTTTACAAAGTGACTAAAAATTTCATTTGACCTTTATTTTAAAACAGGATAATTTCTATTATATAAAACATATGGTTTTATAAAACCTATCAGAGTCCACTTGATCCAAATCTTTAATTACATGCCAACTACTTTCAATAAAACAAAATACATATAATTCAAAATGTTTTTCTGATCTGATCTTTGGAAAGGAGAAACTGACATGCCTTGCTTATCTCTGCTCCTTAATCTTCTTGAAACCTACGTGTGAAACATTCACACGCTAAGTCGATGACTTAGTGAGGCATAAATAAACTTAAATATAACATCTCATTACTATTTCCTACTATGCACATTTCATGTAATCATATTAAACTATAAAGCATGTTATGCATCAGAACATAAATACATACATATTCATATCATTTCATTATCCTTATTAATATTCTTATCATTATTATCATTTATATCTCTTAGTCACACGCTTTTGTACCTAATAGTATACATATCATCATATAGTTTCTGTAACACATTTCATATCACAAAACATACATATCACATATAATATATTTGTTATTATCTTTTTATGTACACATGTGAGAACTAAATATATGTGAGTACATAGAGGTTGTGCACATATACTGTCACCACATAGCGTATAATTCCCACTAGGGGTGCATAGGATTTGTCCCGAATGACCACTATGTCCCGAAGGATCACTCCTTAAGAACCATATACATATTCCAATGGACCAAATAATTGTACTGAAGTACCACATATATGTTCCAAAGGGTTACATATATATCCCGAATGACCATGTAGAACCCTCGACTCTTGGCATGCCAACTATACCCCTAGCTCTCATAACACATAACATGGGCATTATTATTTATGTTATCACACATTCACATATTCATATCACATAAGCATATAAACTCATTGCTTTTTATCACATATATCATGTAATACTCACATGGAGTCTCATATATTATTATCATATATCTCATATCACATGTAACATAGCTTGTCACATATGCTTGTATTCCTTTTTCACATAATCACATATATCTTTTCTCATATATCTCATGTGACTATATATATCTTATTTCATAACATATATCATATATGCATACCTTCACTTATCTCATATCATATAATTTATGTTATGTCCTTTTACATTCCCATGACATATAATGCATACAAGTCATATCACACAATATCAATCCTAATCATTATTCTACTCATGCAATCATATATTTCAATAAGTAGGAAACAAGCTTATCGCAAGTCTAATTTCCTATCAAATCATATTTAATACTATTATGCACTCACCTGGCCTCACTAGTCAATATTGATCTCTTATTTCTTCCTTGTTCGATCTTATCTCGTTGATTCATCAAATACTCGCTTCCGATCAATAACTTTGGAGATAAAACTCACGACAGAGGAAGAAGACAAGCAAGGTTTCAAACTTCTCTTTTTTTTCCTCCTAATCCCCATGTGGTTTATAGCCCATAAAGGGAAGGAAAAAAAATCTTTCTTGCAAAATAACCATTTTACCCTTCTTTCTTTCATCTTTACTAATCAATCCTACTCACATAATTTCTAATTAAATCCCTAAACTTTTAACTTATTTCAAAATTGAGCATAAAGTTTTCAAAATTTACATTTTAGTCACTAGCCCTGTTTTGGGATGTTACAGTGAAAAGTAACTAGCATCTCTGTCACATGTTCTCTCCTCTCATCATTCCGAATAATTCATTTTTACATGAGGATGAAAAATGACAATCCTCTCATTTTCTTTCCTATTAAGCACGTTCAAAGTTTATTTTATTTTCACGTTTTCACTACCTCCTTTTTCTTTCCATTCATTGCTTGATAATACAGTTGAAAATGAGGGGAAAGAAAATAAAACTTTGAAAATTACATAATCTTGAACTACACTCAAAATTTATTTTGGAATAGATTTTTTTCACTTGAAGTATTTCTTTATTCTAACTCCCAATTGGAAAATAAGTTATCCAAGACATTTAACATTCCCCGTATCTTAAATATCATGTATTCGTAAAAACTAGTTCAATTCGAAAGAAAACCAACTTATTCTTAAAGAAAAAGTATTTACCGGCATAGTAGGAAGATTCCTAGCATTCGGATCAATCACAAAAGAAGAGGACGATTTTTCGACGTTCTTGAAACTTGAACCAAGAATAGATGCATGAGACACATAATCATTCCCAAGAGTTGCTGCATCAGCAATATCTAGTTTCCTAAGCTCTGACTGTGAAAACACGTGTGAAATATAGTTCCTAGCATCTGTTGTTGCTTTATGACTATCAAAATCAAATTCAAGCTGCTCTTGATCATGATATACCAGGTTCCTGCAATGAAAGACAGTCAAGTATCATGAACTACAATGAACAAAGAAGCCAAAACCAGAACTCGTTAAGGATATGCATACCTAGAGTTCAAATGCATAGAAGTTGAACAACCATTTGATGTCATTAAGGTCTCTTCCAAGCTATTTGTCAAGGAACTAGGCGTTTGTGGCTGGGGCAATGCTTTACTCTTGCCAGATTTGTAGTTACCAATGCTCAAATGTGAGCAATTAGCAGAAAGTGATTGAAAATAATCCGGAAGCACCACTCCACAGTTATTCTCTTTAGGAGTCGTCGCTCCCTCTTCCTTCCCTAAGCTTAGATGTTGTAAGTTCACATAAACTGATGATGCAGCTTTGGTGGCATCATTAGATAAAGGTGCAGAAGAATTTGGGGCAGATACCAGAGGGTCAAAAGCAAAGAAACATATCCGATAATAATATTTTGCTTCATTGCAAGCATAAAATTAAAACAATATAACCAGCTATTGATAAAGGCACAAAATTAAAACAATATAACCAGCAGAAGTTGACAAGGGTGATGGGGATCTTTCATCAATCCTAAAACAAATGAGGCTGGAAGAAGATTCAGCGAAGGCTCTTCAAGAAGAAACGGAAGCGGAGACTGCCATGGAGGAAGCTGTGATAGATGATAATGTAAATATTGCTGTCGAAGGAGATGATGAAGAATTAGAGCAGTTGGAGTTGTCAAGTCAGACCAATGAAACTGACCATGCATCATATGCTGATGATGTTAGCAGTGAACAGAGCTGGATGCCGAGATCCTTATCCGAGTCCACTGTGGCTTGTGTAACTGGGGACTTTGCCATGCAAAATGTTCTTTTGCAAATGGGTTTACGATTACTAGCACCTGGTGGAATGCAGATTAGGCAGCTGCACGGGTATATCACTAGTGATTGTCGGCTGACAGTTTTACCTAATCAAATGTGAACCATCATTTCAATTGTAGCATGCCAAAATTAAGTATTTCATGCATATGTGCTTACTCTTGAATATATTTCTGTTTGTAGGTGGGTATTGAAGTGCCATGCCTGCTATACCGTAACTGCTGAAATTGGAAGAATTTTCTGTCCCAAGTGTGGGAATGGAGGTACGTTACGAAAGGTAGCTGTTACTGTTAGTGAAAATGGAATTGTTTTGGCATCCCATCGCCCAAGAATTACATTGCATGGTACAAAGGTAAGTTTGTCGTCATACATAAAAGATAGAAATCACATTCTGAGTGGTTCCATTGATTTATTAAATTTTCAAGGCGGTCTTGAAACAGTCGTTAGGTGTCCGTGTCCTTTCTTTGTGTTGTTATATGATGATAATATTCTACGAACGTGTTCATTGCTGTGTGCAGTTTTCTCTGCCTTTACCCCAAGGTGGCAGGGATGCCATAACCAAAAAGCTCATTTTGCGTGAAGATCAACTTCCCCAGAAATTCCTTTACCCTAAAACAAAGAAGAAGGCGAATAAACAGGTTTGGCCCATCACCTTTTTTTTTTTAAATATAATGTTCAGGTTATGTTTCTGCATCCTATATATTTGTTTAATCTTTTAATTTATGGGGTGGGATGTGTTATGTTTGATATAGGGGAATGATGATATCTTAATGGCTGGGGACACCTTCACTCACCATACTGATAAGTGAGCACCTCTTCAGCCGCCCGTAAGAAAAGCATTAGCAGTTTTTAGTGGAAAGAGGAATCCGAACGACAATCATTACTCACGATCAAAGCACAAGTAACTACTTTAATTTATATTTTTTATTTGAGATTTGAGAACTAGTGAACTAGTTCCTTTGCATAATATGCTTGTTAAGTTATATGTGATGGTTTTTCAACTAGCGTCCTACGTATTTTGTGTTGGATTGAGCTCTATTTTGGAGAGTTTTTTTTTTCTTTTAGAGAATACACGAAGTGACATGTTGCCAATGTTTTTAGAATAATGCTTAGGTTCCCCCCCATTGTATTCCCTGAGTTTTGGTAAAATGATCTATTCATCTCTCCATTGTGTCTTGGAATCTGAAACAGTTATTTGTATTTAGATCATTTGGAATTCAACTCCATAAATAAATAGAAAGTGACACAAGTGTTGCCCTTTGATTTGTGAAATCTTCAAAGCTTGTTCATAAAAAATGGACTCGAAAGAACCCATCAAGTTGTCTTAACAGTAAAAGAAAATGTTATTTTCCCTAGAGATCATGTGTTTGAGCAGTTAGTCTGCAGGGTATGTATGCGTTGTCAATAAATTAAGAAAATGGACTCTAAAAACGAATTTTAGCAAAGAATGAAGTTCGTTTGACAAAGTGGAAAATCTGAACTGTTACGGAATTGGAAGAAAGAAAATGAACGCAATTGACGAGGCATAAAGAAAATAGGCCTCTTGTGGGATTTTAACCATCTAGCAGCACCTCTATTTTATGATGTTATGAATTAATTTAACTGAAAAATAATTAAAAATTATTATTTTCTATTATAATTAATAGTTTTATCTTTTTTAAATTATTTTTAAATAAAAAAATCAAATAACTGTTATTTCAGGATCATAAGATTTATATACAAATCCTTTTTCACACCAAAAATTTTATGAATGTATTGTTTTTAATTATTTTTATTCACTCGTGTCATGGTTGTGATAATTTAATTATTATAATTTTTTTATTGAACTGAATTAATGTTAAAAACCAATTGAATATGGTTTAATTAAACAAAGATTAAAATAATTTATAGTGATGATATTATTATAAGTATATTTTTATATTCTCATATTTTATATAATTTTAAAATATAATTATTAAGGTGGTACTGGTAATTTTAAAGATATATATAGATAGAGAGGTGTATAAACACTAAATCATAAATAATAAATTATGACATCCATCATATATTTTATGTTTCTCTTAGTTAATTTTTTAGTGTAAATATCGATATTTAATCTATTGATTGATTGATTCGAATCGGATATTATAAAGGTTTCTTAGGAGGAAAACCTTTCCAATCAGATTTATCATATTCACACCAATTAGAACTTGAACACTTAATTTTATTTTAAGGTGACTTATCCCACTAGATCAATTGGTTGATATTTTTCTTCCAATTTTGATTATTCATCAAAATAGTCACTATAAGGTCAAACGGTATTCAGATAGTAATCTTCACTTTATCACAAATTTTAAAAGTCTAAAGAAATGAAATAAAATTAATTTTAATGAAAATTTTATATTCTTCACTTGTTTTATAAGAGTAATTTTCAACCAATCCAACAGTGTTTTCACGAATATTTAGTTTAGGTAAAATTGAATTTGTTGAAAATTTGAAGGTCTTTTCTCTAATGATTTTTTGTCAGGTGAGATTATTATGTATTTACTCAAATCTTAATTGGTAATTATGTTGGATTTTGATGTAATTCTAGATTAAGTTTATTTATGTAAGAATAAAGTCTTTTAGTGATTACATATTTGGCTCATTATTGGAGATATATAATTCATTTGGATTTATGTTTTAGAGATGGTTTTTTAGGAAAGTTGGAAGAGTTTTGGTGATACGTCACATGAAATTTCATGTTTTTGAACAATTTGTTATATTTATTATTATCTTTGTCTATTGACGTGTGATTTATTTCATACTGATCTTATTTTGATAATATTTTTCACTTATAAATTTTTAATATTGAATAAAATGAAAGCCGAATTTAGGGATCAAGCAACTTTTAATCGTTAAATTTGATAAACTTTTCGATTTAATCTCTAAATTTTTTATCTACATAATCCCCAAAACTTAGTAATTTTTCAATTTAATTCTTCTGAAAAATTGTACCACCTAACACACTTTATCGCTCAGTTTTATATGGATTGTTTATGTTGAGACAATGAGAATAATTTAAAATATATGAAACATTTACAAAGATCAAAATCACTGAAAACTATATGAATTTTGATGTTACAATGTGTTAGCTCTCAATTCATGATGAAAGAGCAAGTTCAGACCCATGCTAAAGAACATGCCTTGAGCTCAACTGATATCGATGCCTGTCGATTCCACTTTCCCAACATTCGGCTTAATGACTCTCCATCGATAGCCATCTCGGAAAAACCAGATGAACGCAAGCAATCATGACGAAAGAGCGAGTTCAGCCTAAGCTAAAGATGTCTTGAGCTCGACGGATAAGGATGTGACGATTCTGCTCTCCACCATTACGCTTATTTCCTTCATCGATGGCCGTTTCGAGAAGTCCGGGTGAATGCAAAGGCATATAACTTCACAGATGACTTGAAGGTCATCATAGCTGAAATGTTTCAGCTCTGGATCCACTATGTAAGACATCACTTCCGGTAATTCAAAATAATCCCTGGCCTGTAATTTAAAGTATTCCGGAGCATATCGAGCTTAACATAGTTGTCTATAATGAGGATGATGACGTCGAAATCGAGGTGTTCAGGGAGGTTGTGTTGAAAAATACTTCTTATTTCATATATATCAAAATGTACACAAATTACATATTTATAACTTTAATACTAATGTAACTGCTTCTAACTGACTTCTAACAAACTCCTAACAACATAACAACATTCAACTACTTTACTATGCTCAACACTCCCCCTCAAGTTGGGTTATAAAACACATCTTTTACTCCCAACTTGGATAAGAGATATTCATGCTGTGAGACTCCAAGTGCCTTTGTTAGAATGTCTGTCTGTTGTTCTGAGGTTGGAACAAACACTGTTTGAATCAGTCCTTTCTGAATTTTTTCCCTTATAAAATGGCAATCTATCTCTATGTGCTTTGTTCTTTCATGGAACACTGGATTGGTTGCAATCTGCAAGGCTGCCTTACTATCACTATAAATCTTTGCTGGCTGATCATTGTTGACTCCAAGCTCTTTTAGTAACCCTTTCAACAAACAAGTTCTAAGGTTGTTATGGCCATACTCCTGTACTCAGCTTCTACTGATGATCTTGTGATAGTGCTCTATTTTTTAGACTTCCATGACACTAATGACTCCCCCAATTTGACACAAAATCCTGTAATTGACTTTCTTGTCATGGGACAAGTTGCCTAGTCCGAGTCAGCTGGAAATTGCTCGAAGCCTTTAACATAACTCCTAAACCAAGATTCTTCTTGATATATCTTACTATTCTAAGAGCAGCTTCCATATGCTCCCTTTTGGGTTGATGCATAAACTGGCTTAAATGCTTAACTGAAAAGGCTATGTCTGGTCTTGTATGTGTTAAATACAACAACCTTTCAATAAGCCTTTCAAATTCTTCTTTGTCAGATAAATGAATCTTTTCTTGTCTCTGATGTTGTTGAAATAAACTATCTTAGTCCACTGTAGTAAGCTTGGTATTCTGCTCTAAAGGTGTTGCTGCAGGTTTTGCACCACCAATTCCAGTGTCTTGAATCAACTTAAGTGCATATTTCCTCTGATTTAGAAGTATCACTTCCTTTGATCTTAAAACTTCTAGACCAAGAAAGTACTTCAACTCTCCCAAGTCTTTCATTCTGAAATTCTTATGCAAAACCTCTTTCAATTCAGCAATCATTTTCA